ATGTTTAATATTATCTAGTAGTAGGGCGGTTTACGTTGAGGAACGTGTGAAGGGGGACTTTCTTTTCATGTCGTCCTCAAAACCATTGATAGTGGGTGGTTGGTGGCGAGTGCTCTGGTGTGGTTTGATTCTTCTTTTCTATCAACCATCTATTGCCCTTATCTCTCCTCCTTTTTTGTGTTTGTTACTCTCTTGTAACATCTCTAATCTTCGGCACTTATATGACCTTATATATTGTGTTGCAAGTGCCGTGAAACACTTACTGAAACTGACAAAAACATAAATAGGGTCTATATGTTGGGTGTTCTGTTAACCTATTCTGCGTCAACGCTCCATATCTGAGGCGACCCGTTTAGTGTCACTGATGTTGACAAAATTGCTGTTGTTTCCTTGGGTTTAATTAGAATATTTCCAACGCAGAGAAGCCTCCGATTAGTACCTCACTTTCTTGAAAAACTTATCCGTTTTTCCCGTACACAGGCGCAAACAAACTCTAAATTTTAATTATTAGACAAAAGAATATCCAATAACTGGATAATAACCCACACTAGATTATTCGTAACTTTTAAGTGCTGCATGTTTACTGTTCAGGATGTTGATGTAAGTTTGGGGCGGGGGGGGGAGGGGTCTCCCAACCTGTCAATTTGCTTTCATTCAGAACCATTTGAGATGTGTGGATCCCTTTATAACGCTAATTTTTGTTTAATTTTCTCTTTTGTTACATCTTTTTTCCTACCTCCCTATCGATGTGATCTGTTGTGGTGTTAGTGTTATATATATATAAATTAGTATGAATGGTATAGCAGAAGAGGCATTGTTTTGATCAAAAATAATTTACAGATTCTGGACTGGTAGGTGACAAGAAAATACAAAGACAACCGAGGAGAAAATGTTTAATGAATAGTAGACCACAACAGCCGACGTCTGTGTCAGCTCTGGAATTTGAAAAAGAAAAAAAGTTCGTATTTAATTGACTTCCTTGTCAGGTCAAGAACTTGGTTGGCAAGCGTGTGTACATCATCATGGG